ACAGATATTTCCGAGTGTATCTTAAATTCTAAAGTTTTTTTTTCTAAAAATATATTTTTCTTCTGAATATTCAAAAATATGTCAAAAATTTGTAAAAAGTCGGTTTTTCATTGTAAAAACCTTTTCACAACGAAAGTTGATGTTGAAAACACATTAAAAAGATTTAGAACTTGAGAAGATAGATTTGTGATAAAAATTTGAACATCATCAAGTGATCATAGCGTGACTAAATTTGAATTATTCATGTTTTCCATAATTTCAAGTCACTTTTGGCAGAACATTTGCGACGATGCTCATATCTTTGCGGGGAGAGACTTATCCTTAATAATATTGTATTTGAGTGAACATAGACATACACGTTCATACTTTTCTTAGTTTGCATGTTGAAACACTTCAATCAATGAAACAAATTAAAACGAAATGGAGTAAAATGAGAAATTTATACATAGAAGTAGAGCAATTACTAGAGAATAATCAATTGTTATGGGAAAAAAGTGCTGATAAATATAGTATTACACCTGAGACTATACATAAACAACTTCAAATCTTACAGATAAACATATGAAAATAGTCTGTAACAATTCAATATAGTAGTTATTTTTATTTCCAGTCACTAATACGTGATCTTGATGGTAGAACACAAATTTTTGATTCTCTAAAAATAATAGCTGAAACATTGTCTCATAAACAAACCATTGAAAAAGTGAATAAATTAATAATGACAAAGAATAATTTAGTACAAAATATTCAAGTATGATAAAATCAGATATAAAATATTTTAGATAGACAAAACTTAATAATTATTTTTCTTTTTACATTAAGAATGAAATTGAACAACGACAATATATTTTGACACAATATAATCATTTCATTGAACAAGTAAATCAGACACAATTAGCAGCAATTAAATTATTAAATGAACAAAATCAACAATTTTCAAAACAAACGTTAATAGAAGATCCAGATGTTAAATGGGAGGTAGATAATCTAGTAGAACATAGAAATAAAATGAATACTTTACGTTTTATTTTTAGAAATTTGAACAATCATCGTCCATTATCACAACACGATATGATGATGTTCATCAATTGTGAACAAAATTAATGACTGAACATTATAAATATAGAAATATTTGTCGTTTAATCTCGTCGACAATTGATATGGGAGAAAAAAATCAAAAATCATTTGAATCATCATTATATAATATGAATGTATGCTTTCTTTTCATTAATTAACTATTTTCTATATTATTAATTTATATTTTTTTGTAGAAAATTTATTTAAATGTTATTGAACAATATCGTCGACGTCAAACACATTTCAAAAATTTTGAAAATCAAATTGATATAATTGAAAAAACTTTTCAAAATTTTAATCATATCAATAGTATAGAGCAATTGAATCAATCGTTCAATGTAATAAACATTCAATAGTCTATTTTTATTATTTTCTAATAATAATTTATTTATTTAGATATTCACAGAGACTATTGGAAAAGTTCAATTAAAATTACAATATTTATTTAATCAATCAAACAATAATTATGATTTTAACAATTTTAATTTACGTTTAAAATCTTTGAAGACAAATGTAAAAATAGATATTTTATATTGTGACATTTATTATTAAAAATGATATTTATTTTGATATTTCTTTTTTAAAGGTTCAACATCAACTAGAATACAAACGATCAATTTTAATGGAAAAAAGTGAAAAACAGACAATTGTCCAATCATCATCTAACTGGTTAAATGCAATAATTAAAAATTTAGACGTATTCAAAAATGAGCCCATTCTTTTCCAATACGATTTGATAAGAAATCGTTTAAAAGTAAAATTGACTGGATAGAACTAAGGCCTATCTGACACTCTACATGGTATGATGACATGGTATGACCGACATGGTATGATGACATGGTAGATCTGGCACAGGTCCGAGAGCGAATGTTGTCGAGAAATAGTGTGAGAAACCGCCAGAAAAAAGATTTTTGGAAATATTTTGAACGATGGACATTGAGATGTATCCTTGTGAGACACAAGACTGGATGGAGCTGCTCGAGATCAATCTGTTGACCTATTGATCACATTTGACTCAGGTCTGGGAGCGAATGTAGTCGAGAAATACTGTCAGAAACCGCCTGAAAAACGACTTTTTTAAATATTTTGAACGATGGACATTGAGGCGTGTCCTTGTAAGACACACGACTGGATAGAGCTCGTCGAGATCTATCTGTTGAACTATTGATCACATTTCGCACAGGTCTGAGAGTAAAGATCAAAGGTAAATTGTTAAATTAGAATAGATTTAAGAAATAAATTTTCATTATTTATTTCAATAGAATTTCTGTAGAAACATTATTATGAAATGCTTAATGAAAAAATAGTTTTAATAAAAATAAAAATCATTCTCACATTTTCTGTTCATGTAAAGACATAAAGTTCTTCAATGTTTTTCAAACAACAAGAAACATAAAATTCATTTATGAAATAAATATACAGTTTCTATAGAATTCTATAGAAATAAATATACAGAAATTTTATAAATGAATTTTGTTTTTCTTGTTGTTATGGTGAAACTATTAATGTATTTGGTATAATAAATTCCGAACATTTCAATAAAAAA